GCCATGGATTGTGTGTGTCTGTGTGTGAGAAAAGGAACAGTGCCCGTGTGTTTCTGTGACTGTTTGGAGAATGTGGGGGTAGGTTGCATTTGATAAATTGTATTCACTTGGTTAAGAGTGTGTGAGGGGAAAACAACGCTTGAGAAAATGTGCTAGTGTGTTGTAGAGCTTTGTTCAGGCAGCAGCCTATATGGAGTCTCTCCTGTTAACGTGGTGTCAAGGGACAGAGAGCGGAGGTGTCTGCTGGCACAAATGCAGAGATGCTTGACATACTTGTCTGTACTGACCCTCTGATGTCAACAAGTACCACATATATAGAGATGTGTTCAAAGCGTAGCGCTTGGTTCTTCCAAACATACAAACCCAAGAGAATGCTGAAAGATGGATACCTTTGTTATATCTCCAAACCAACTAAGATGGTCAGAAAGTGAGGATCTAGTTTGTAAACTACATCTGGTCTGGGATCAGTAACTTTGTTGAATACAGTCCCACTTCATACCCAGGGTGATTCCCACCTCATGTGCAGTAGTTGTACCAAGCCCTTACCATAGCCGCTTAAACCTGCATGCATAATCTCCATTCCAGACAACCCTTGACCCAAGATCAAGCTGTTTTATTTCTTTCATAGTCATGATTGTTAAGTATCATGTTTGGACACACAAATTAATTAACAACTAATATATCAACTTTGAACTTCCATCCAAACAAACGAAGCACAACCTAGCCTGCTTTTGTTAGTAAAATATTATAAACCATCATATTATTTTAGGAGTGTGATGCAAGATTTAAGAAACTTTGCTTTGACATCTAAGGTAATTTTAAAACTATTCAGGCAGAAATAATTTTAAAACTATTCAGACAGAAATAAGTGCAAAAAGGTTGTGGATGTGTTGGTCAGGTCTTCCCTGGAAAGCTCTCGTAGAGCTGCATCGCACAAAAACATTTCTACGGCTCTCTGACTTTGATTACTAATCCTTAAAAATGGAATTAGAAGCAACTGGATTTCTTGTTTGTTTGAGAAAAGGGAGAAAAAAGCAGAGTACAAGTCAGACTAAACCATTTCTCTCTGGGAATGCAGAAAGTGAGATGGGAAAGCCCATTCGAGGTTTTCAAACAAAGGAAAGGAGACACAATTGGAAAATTCTCCAAATAGCACCTAGGAGAAAGTCCTCCAACCTTTACGTTTCATTTCTATAAGTAAAGTAACTCCTACTCCTCTTCTGCAATTTTCCGCTTGGTTGCTCCTTAATTCAAGAGTTTGTTTGTTGTGCCATCGGAGACATTGTTAATTCATGCATATTTGATTTAGAAATGTCATTCATTATACTTTATTTCCTCCCTGCTTACTCTGTCAATCTATTACTTTTCCTCGGTTTCCTCTATGTTCTGATCAAATATCTTCACACAAAAAATCATTAGTTTTAGTTTGGTTTGTTTTCTGGTGTGTTTATTACATCAAGACAAACAAACAAACAAAAAAAAAACAACTGAAAAACCCGACGCAGGAAGAAAGTAATGATAAAAACTAGGGTTCCTACCAGTATCGGTAAAAGTTAACCGATACCAATGCAGTTGCTTGAAAGTGGCTTCACTGTAACTTGTCATTTCTGTTCACCTAACATTTTAGTTTAGTGATCATTTCATTTAACATATTTTATTTTTGATCTACCTCAAAGTCTTTTCCGGTTTAAGCAGAGAAGAAAATTAAACGTGTATTCCAAATCATTGAATTTTTTTGTGTGGCAGAAGTATCAGCATCGGTAATCGGTATCGGCGAGTACTCAGATCCAAGTATTGGTATCGTATTGGTTTGGAAAAAAGTAGCATCGCTGCATCTCTAATAAAAACCTGTAAAAGCCTCGTATCTCTAGAATATTTTCGCTTTTATTGTCCAATCTTTACTGAGATACAATGACTTACGTCATTCCTAATTCATCTGTCAGCTCTGTTCTTTAGGCCAGCTGATGCTATCTCCCATCTTAACTCCATTGTCTAGTCAGTCCAACACAAGTCAAACCACAGAGTCAGGCAGGAGGAACATTCACTCCTCAACTCTCAGCGATCGCTCTATCTGGCCTTTGATCACATCTAAGAATGAGCCTTATCCAATCCAATCTACCGTGTTCATCTGCAGGCGAGAGCGGTTAAGGTCTGGGTGAAACGTCTGCTATCAGGAGACCTGATTCCACTTCTATATGCTAAGCACTGCTATTTGGATTCAGGATGAAGATGGAAAGTGGCAAAAAATGAAAGAATATTCTGAAGGGCAAATTAAAGGTGTTGACATGCAGCTATAGAGGGAGCAAAAAACACAAGGTGCTAGGAAACAAAGGTACATCTCTGTTACTTTTTACCCTGCCTTAATGATATACATTTCAAAAACAAAGCATGGAAGGTGAAGAGGAAGAAGAATGAGAAAAAGAAGAGGTGACTGGGAATCAAAGTGGTGAAGGATGAGGTGGGGAGTGATGAGAAGGACGAGGAGGATATGCCTGGCCTGGAGCAGTAGCTGTTGGGGCATTGAGAGTGCAACTAATGGAAATGGCAGCTAAGAGAAGGATGATAAATGACTTTGTGCACAGATGTATGTATGTGTGTGCACATCACTTTCAGACTGTTTACACTTTTGTGCATGAGAGACACCAAGCATTGCTGTTGTGTGTTTATGGGGTGTGTTGTCTGTGTGTGTGACAGTGCAGATGATGGATTCTCTAGTGGAGCATGTGGCTGGTGGCTTCTCGGACAGACAAAGTGACAGAAGAGGTCTCTGTGCCCACATGCCACCGTGAGCCAGAAGGCCTATTCCTGCTGCCTCCTTCATTCCACCACAGCCTTCATCTCTTCATCCCCTTCTCCATCCATCTGTTCCTTTTCCTCTGACACGCTGCCTTTGTTCTCATGTTTGGTCCACAACATTTTGTTCTTGGATTCATCAGCAGCTGATTTTTTCAGCTTTAATGAGACAAATGTGGACATTACAAAAAAAGGCTTTTGTTAGCTACCATGAAAGTGTGTTTGTGTGTACAAGGTATTCATAGTCAGTGTCACTACCTCACCTGCTGCACACAGCTTCCTGTGTGCCCTCTGTCATCTATGTCTGCAGCACCTCATGACTTAATTATGACAGCTGTTGTGATTAAAAGGGAGGCCTTGGAAACTTTAAAAGTTAAATGAAGTTATACTTTGCGATGATGCTGGACTGGCGTGTGTACACCAAAGCAGAAGTACAGTTTGAATTCCTAAATGAGAGGAGCACTATACCAAACATTTGAGTGCACTCCATGAGCACAGGGCTGGCACACACGAAAGCCCGCTACCCCCTTGCTTTATAGTTCATAGCAGGTGTGCAGAGTAAGTAAGAGATTTGCTAACCTCAGTGTGCATACCGGTACATAGGGAGTGAGCAGATCAGATAAGTAGGAAGACGAGAGACCGTTCAAAGCTTTAAACACAAAGAGGAGAACCTTAAACCTCACCCTCTGCCAATGGAGATGCACCAGACCCGGAGTGATAGGACTGTGCCTACTTGTGTTTGTCAGGAACCTCGCTGCAGCATTCTGTGTAATCTGAAGCTGATTCAGGGCCAAAACAAGAGTGCCAATGAGAAATGAATTTGTCACAAAGAGGTGACAAAGGTATGTACAACAGATTTCAAATGCTATAGTGTCAGAATTGGCTTCAAGCGTCTGCATTGAAATGTGAAAAAACATCAAAATGATACCCTGAACTCCATCTTTTGTCACTCATTAATACAATTTAGCTGTATCTATTTTACTTCTCCCCCAGAGCCTCCTGTTGGCTGATTTGCTGCCCTTCCAGGCTTATGCCCAGAGTGCACTAGCCAGTGATCTCCACAAGCCTTGCAGATGGGCGCTCTAATCTGCTAACTTTAGCTTTGTGAGCCATGAAGGCTGGGCTCGTGTCTTGTTTTGGACAGCCAGGCTTGCTGTGGTGTCTGAAGCTTGTGTTTAGGATTCTGCACAGCTTTGTTGAGAGAGGAGATAAAGAGGAAAGCAATAAGGCACAAGGTTGACCAATTAATAAAGGGCCAGTGATTCAGGCTGGCCAACAAGGGGAGCTTTAATCTGCATGCAGATAACAGAAAGAGTTCAGACCACAAACATAGACAGATAGATTCACTCGTGGTGTGTGTGTGTGTGTGTGTGTGTGTGTGTGTGTGTGTGTGTGTGTGTGTGTGTGTGTGTGTGTGTGTGTGTGTGTGTGTGTGTGTGTGTGAGAGAGAGAGAGAGAGTGAGTGATTGCGTGCATGCATGCATGCATGCGTGTGTGCACAATTGTGTGTGGGAGGCCCCTTTGAGATAAGGAATAGACATAACTGTCAGTGAGTTTACATCCATAAATCCATTAGGAAGATATGAGGATGCTAACGTTTTAGTGCTGTGTAAAGCCTGCAGACCTGTGTGTGATGGGCGAGGAGAGAGAAAAAAAGAGAAAAGTGCCATAAAAACATTACACAGGTGGACACCCTGACTACCTATATACTAAAGCATTTGACAAACACTTGTTATGCTTTGCACGATGCCCGCTGTAGCTGACACTTGGCACGATTAATATTAGCTTTTATGCTAATGCAGCATTTGGCTATGTTAGAACAAGGCAGTATTTCCATAGAAAGTCATTCATCCCAGCCTGTTTATGGCCTTATGGGCCACGACAGAATTATTGCTGCACAGTACACAAGCTGTTGTCACTGTGCCAAAAGCCACTATTACACACACAGACAGCAGACACGCAGCAGGATGATGTGAGGAGAGCCTGAGGCTAAAGCCATAGAGGATACTGGGCTTTGTGTGCAATAGTTCTCCCAATGCTGCTTTATATGTTTGCATGCAGTTATGTGCATGAGGAAGATTTATCATTTTAGTTCATAATAACAGAGCACACTCAGTAAAACTGAGTTTTTTCAGGGTCATTCCACACTCCCAAGAATGAAAACAAGAAAAGATGGCAGCATCACTATGTGGCACGGTGAGTCCTACCTCAGAATTGTTGACACGTCCCTCCTGGAAAGAGCAGTCGTTGGCGTTTTGAGTGCACATGTGGCGGTACTTGCACCAGTGACATGGATAAGAGCCGTTTACACAGGAAAGGCAGCTAAAAGAGAATAAAGGTGACAAATCAGAAGGTTAGGGACGTCATTTCCCTCTCTTATGATACAATTCAAAGCTCTTTTTAAAGATTCCTGTTGTATGTAGACCCAAGTGGCTCATCCTTTGAGTTTTGGACCCTTTTGTGTGTCTGAATGATTAATACAGGTGCTGGCCAGTAAATTAGAATATCATCAAAAGGTTGAAAATATTTCAGTAATTCCATTCAAAACGTGAAACTTGTACATTATATTCATGCAATGCACACAGACCAATGTATTTCCAATGTTCATTACATTTAAATTTGATATTTATAGGTGACAACCAATGAAAACATCAAATCTGGTATCTCAGAAAATTAGAATATTCTAAAGGCCAATGAAAAAATGTTTGTTTCTCTAATGTTGGCCAACTGAAAAGAATGAACATGAAAAGAATGTGCATGTATAGCACTCAATACTTAGTCGGGGCTCCTTTTGCCTCAATAACTGCAGTAATGCGGCGTGGCATGGACTCGATCAGTCTGTGGCACTGCTCAGGTGTTATGAGAGCCCAGGTTGCTCTGATAGTCGTCTTCAGCTCCTCTGCATTGTTGGGTCTAGCGTATTGCATCCTCCGCTTCACAATACCCCATAGATTTTCTATGGGGTTAAGGTCAGGCGAGTTTGCGGGCCAATCAAGGACAGGGATACCATGGTCCTTGAACCAGGTGCTGGTGGTTTTGGCACTGTGTGCAGGTGCCAAGTCCTGTTGAAAGGTGAAGTCTGCATCCCCATAAAGTTGGTCAGCAGCAGGAAGCATGAAGTGCTCTAAAACTTCCTGGTAGACGGCTGCATTGACCCTGGACCTCAGGAAACAGAGTGGGCCAACACCGGCAGATGACATGGCACCCCACACCATCACTGACGGTGGAAACTTTACACTGGACCTCATGCAACGTGGATTCTGTGCTTCTCCGCTCTTCCTCCAGACTCTGGGTCCTTGATTTCCAAAGGAAATGCAGAACTTGCTTTCATCAGAAAACATAACTTTGGACCACTCAGCATCAGTCCAGTCCTTTTTGTCCTTGGCCCAGGCGAGACGCTTCTTGCGCTGTTTCTTGTTCAAGAGTGGCTTGACACACGGAATGCGACACCTGAATCCCATGTCTTTCATGAGTCTCCTCGTGGTGGTTCTTGAAGCGCTGACTCCAGCTGCAGTCCACTCTTTGTGGATCTCCCCCACATTTTTGAATGGGTTTGTCGTCACAATTCTCTGCAGGGTGCGGTTATCCCTAGAGCTTGTACACTTTTTTCTACCACATTTTTTCCGTCCCTTCGCCTGTCTGTTAATGTGCTTGGACACAGAGCTCTGCGAACAGCCAGCTTCTTTAGCAATCACCTTTTGTGTCTTGCCCTCCTTGTGCAAGGTGTCAATGATTGTCTTTTGGACAGCTGTTAAGTCAGAAGTCTTCCCCATGATTGTGGTGCCTTCAAAACAAGACTGAGGGACCTTTTAAAGGCCTTTGCAGGTGTTTTGAGTAAATCAGCTGATTAGAGTGGCAGCAGGTGTCTTCTATATTCAGCCTTTTCAGAATATTCTAATTTTTTGAGATACCAAATTTGGAGTTTTCATTAGTTGTCACTTATGAATATCAAATTTAAATGTAATGAACATTGGAAATACATTGGTCTGTGTGCATTGCATGAATATAATGTACAAGTTTCACGTTTTGAATGGAATTACTGAAATATTTTCAACCTTTTGATGATATTCTAATTTACTGGCCAGCACCTGTAGATCAGAGTTAGGCCGCTAAACAAAAACAAATTAAGCAACATACGTCTAAAAATGCAAATGTTAAGGTAAAACAATTAAACTAATTTTTTTAATGTTTCTTTAAAGTCAAGTCAAACTTGAACTTTTCCTGATCCTGTGAATGTTTTTCTTCCTTTCACCTTTCACCCCACATCTCCCATCCAATAAACGGTCTTCACCTCCTCCTCCTCCTCCCCTTACACCCCTCATCCATCACCCTCATCTTGCTTAAAGTCTGCATCGCTCGCTCCTTCTGTATGCCGAGTAATCTCCCTAAACTCCCTGCCTACCTCTTTCTTCACCTCTGTCACCACATTCTCTCCATTCACTCTGGAGTAAACCTCTATATTCCTCCATCTCTCCCTCTTTTTGCTTCCCATCCCTTTCATTGCTGTGTCCCTGTTCTTTGTCTAAAGCTCCCTTTCATCCGCGAGGCTAAGAGCCCTCCACCATTTTAAATTCACCTGCTTTGGCAGCGGCGAGGTGCCGATAGACCGGCTGAAAGGGAAAGACGGGAGAAAGGAGCGAGGCAAAGACGGAGGGGGGAGATCAAACGCAGGTGGATTTTCCTGACAGAGGAGTAGATGCCAGGTATCGTGAGAGAGACAGAGGTGAGGGTGTCTCCCGGGACAGGGATGAAACATCAGGCTGAGTGTCTGGAGGTGATTATGAATCTATATGTGTGTGTTTACGTTCATGGAAAACCACGGAGGAGAAGCAGAAGAGTTTATGTGAGCAGTTTATCAACACAGAGTCTTATTATTGCTGCTCTTTGAGCTCTAGAGAAATAGTTTCACATTTAAGACCAAAGGATCGTCTAATGTAGCTGTTGTGTTTTAACAGGTAAAACACTTATTTTATTACAGCGCTTACTAAATTGCAGTCGAGTTTCTGGATTTCATCGCTGGGGTTTATTTAGCTTGGGATTTGAATCAGCATAAGGTTTATTGAAGGCAAAATAAAATATTACAATTAATAAAGTCAAGATAGGAAAGTCTGCAGGTTGGGTTGTACTCAGCAATACTACCGTGTGTGAATATGAGCTGAAATGAGCACTGACGAGATCTCGAGTGTGTTTCAACCCGCTTCCCTTCCTCTTACCCACATGGAAAAATGAGGGCTTTAACTCTTGAGCTCTGATGGAGCCCATATATGAATCCATCAAACCCCGACGTGGATTCATTTGGATCAATTAGGGCTGCTCGTTTGTTAGGTGCACACGTTAAGCGATCATTTCCAGCTCAGACCCCCTTCCTTTTGAGCGAGATCAGAGGCTGGAGCTTAATTCAATCCCACTGCTGCTTTAATTGACCAATTTAGCATTGTGCTGACAGAAGCTGTCCATTTAGAATAAAAGATGTGCAGCTAAGGAAATAACAGGCCTCTTAATACCACACAAGAGCAAAGAGGGGATTTGTCAACGATGGCAACAAATGGAAAGAAAGCGATTAGGTTACGCTAGGTTAGCATACAGTGTTCGAATTCAAGGAGCAGAACAGAGATTTGAGCTCTCTGGTCCGTCCCGAAGGGTCTGATGAGAAACAGAGGAAGGGCTGTCAATACAGAGCAGACTACATGACTGATGCAAAACAAACGAACACAACCCAAGTTAGCCTCATTATGGTGATTGTTGGCTGTCCTTCACACGGTAGCAACCACAGCTTTGAATATCAACGAGGTTTGCTTTTTGTTCTGGGTCTGCCTGTGAATTTATCATCATCAAAACTAAATTCTGGCATCAACCTGACGCAGCAGCAGGCAACTAGAATCAAACAGTGACTCACACTATGTATGGTTAGCCGTCCACATCAGTCTTCTGGTCTGTCGCTGACACTCATTATTAAAAATAACCTTTTTATTCGACTTACATCTTTTATTCACGTCAAATCAAGCTCGTTAGTGTACCAGAACTTTGAAATAATGAGCAAAACACCAGCGGGTCACCTCTGACTGCTTTTCTTTCCTTTTATGACCAAAGACTTTGAAATAAAGGAAGGTACCATTATGCATGCCACATAAGGAGAGTGGTACCAGCCCCCTACTGCTTACTCTTCGATTCCTTGAAGTAACCAGAGCTCCTGTCACATGCTAACATTGAATCTCTAAGTCTCTATTTTAGCCTGGGTGTACCCTTGTCAAAAAAAGCCCACCTAGTGCCATTGAGCATGTCTGAGTCTTGATCAGAAGTTGGCTCTATTTTTTTTTACCCCTCCAGCTTCGCCTTTTTGCTCACTTCGGCCCCTCGCTGTGTCTGCAGCGACTCATTTGGCTAGGAGCAGCTGGATACATGCTCCCTTTGTGGCCACACTTCTACTGTCAAGTTAATCTGCTCATATTCAGATGCTAATCAATACACGCTACCTTTGGAACAGCAGTAATTCTCAATGGCCAAACACAATAGACTCTGATTTCCACCACTCCTCTCTGCTTGGTCAGTTTGAAGTGCTAAATCCAATCTGTTCCCCATATGAGGTGTTTGACTTTTTCTGCACTTGGCAACATTTTTTTTTTATTGGCTACTTTTCATTTCAAAGGACAGAATTTCACTGATCTAATGTTCCTAAGGATTGTCCATCATATCACCACTGGATCTCTTTGAAATTCAGAAGGAGAGAGAGAACAAGGATATTATTATTCATGCAAATTATTGTGTTAATACATATTCAAGTATAGGAGAAAAGTTGAATACGTTGAAAACAAATGAATGCACATCCTCTTTAACTATTGAAATTTCCATTTCCATCACTCACCTTTCCGCTTTACTTATCAAATCACTGTCCCTGTGACACTGACCAATGCAAAGAGCATTGCTTCATACCTCAAATCATCTTCAGACTCTCAATCTTCATTAAAATAAAAATGTGGAATGAACAAAAAAAATCATATGAAAATATTTAATTAAGGAGCAATCATAGCTGTGGGTGATTCTCTATTTCAATCTCAGCACCCCTTTAACTGAAACACTGGGACTTCTAATTAGATTAATACAACTATGCAAATTTATGGCTCTTTTTTTCATTCTGGGGCGCCGACATAATCAGCTGAGCAAATAAGCAGGAGGGGCAGCTGTTCGGGAGGACAAGGAACGGGGTGTCATGGTGAGGGGGGGAGATCTTGAATACAACTGAAAGCTGTCTTTATTTTCTGTTTTTCTACAAAGGAGCTTTATAAGTAGTAGAGGTTGGCGATTTTTATTAATTTTTTTTTGAT